CCCCAAAACCCCAAAACCCCCTCTGATTATTATGTAGTAAAAGTTGATATTTATTTAAATGGAAATTAAAAACGGAATCTATTGCTATTTATGAATCAATCGAAAAACCTTAATAATAATAGTTTTATAATATCTAAATCTAAAAAATAATATGTTACAAAATGCAATTACTTCACTTGACATATTTGGTCACGAAATAGGATTCACCTACAAAAATAAAAGGACTTATTAGTCTTTAATTGGAGGTTTAACTTCGATCATGTTTAAGGTAGTAATAATGACTTTCCTAGTACTGGAACTTATCGATGTATTTCAAAGAAAAATATCCATCTCTTATTCAAATTCAATTAGAAATAATGCCATAGATGTAACTGAGTACAATTTTGACTCTACAAAATTTGATATAGCTTTTACTATACATGAGTAAAACCAAACCATTAATGATAATATTTAAAGCTATGTAAATGTTAAGTTTTCTCAAATGTAGTTTCAATGGAGTGACAACTCGTCATTTTAAGAGAGATCTTTTACTTATAACTATAGCAGATGTGAGTCTGGGAGATTCAACGGAGAAAAACAGCAAACTGATAATTTTGAATTGGAAAAATATTATTGGTGTCCTGATTAATTTAATTTCACACTTAAAGGTAGTTTTTCATCTAAAAGCAATTCTTACATAGCCTTGACATTTGATAAATGCAGCTAAACTTATCTTGATGAATTTTATCCAGGTAAAAAATGTTAATCTAAAGATGAATTAGATTGATACTTTGATAGGATAGAAGTTAGTATAGCATTCATGAAGTAGTATCTTGATGTAAATGAACTAGATGAAAATCCTATCAAAACAATTATTTCAAATGAATTATATACAGGAACATCTCTCTTATCCTAAGGTCATATTTACTCTTTAAGTTAAAATTATGCTGAAATCACAAAAAATCCCATATCTAATAAACTTGGAAGACAAAATTTAGATTATTATTCTATTAAAAAGATTTCGAGCTTTTCTTAGTCTGCAGGCAAGTACCCTCTAATTGGCATTTATATATAGATGGATGATGAAGTTATAACTATCTAAAGGGCAGTTTATTCCTTATTGGATGCTCTTTCATTAACAGGAGGTATAATAGAAATATTATTTGTAATTACTAGTTTACTAATCTCTCCCATTCAAGCCAATTTATATTACCGCAATCTAGTATAAGACTTATTCACTATAAACTGTAATACTTCGACTTAGAGCAATTAATAAGGTTTAAATGCAGATAAGGTACACAAAATTAATACTGAGTTAATTATGAATCAAAATAAATACTCTGATAATTCTTTACTTTCTGGAGATACAAAATAATCTCTTCTTAATAAATTCAAGAAAATATTACTGTAATTGAAACAGTGAATTCCATTCGCCTACAAAATCAGTCATTTCATAGTAGATTTCATTCTAAAAATTGGATGCTTATTTAATAGAAAAGAAAGATAGATGATGATGAAAGCATTTTAAAAAGCTCAATCTAAAATTGAAAAGCACTTTGAAATAGATCGGTTCATTAAAAACTAAAAAAGATCAGAATTTATTAGTAAAATTAGTTTGACTAAATACTAGAGAAGTCTAATGAGGTATTTTAAATAAGGTCACATTGATATGCATTCTAATGTTGATGAAATTAAGATTAATTAGACTTCTAATAATGAAAGATAAAGAAACCATAATAATAGCAGTAGAATAAAATAATGGAAGAACTTAAGTAAATTAAAGAAATAGCAAGTAAAATAATACTTAATATCCACCTTAATAAATTCTAGTAAGTCTTTGATCGATAAAAGAATTCTCAAAAATCTTGATGAAAATTAAGTTAAAAGTTCAATAAAGAATTAAAAAGTATTAGAAGGAGTTTAAATTAAATGCCTTGACTAAATAAATTAAGAATTTTAGCAATAATTCCAATACAATGGAGGAAGTATTAAAAGAGAGAATGATGTCTAATAAATCTAGTAGTATAGAAGAAATGACCGAACTTATTCAATAGATACTATTGGAACATAGAATATTACTACTGAAGATTAAAGGCTGAAAAATATAAGAATACCTTAAATTCGTAGAGATTAAACATTATCATAGATTTATGATGAAGAATCGAACATCGATATACTTTTCTAGAATTAGGGCTATTAAAACAAAAAATACACTTGAAAAGCTGCAAACTTCCTTTTAAGCACTTTAATCTACATTAATAAAGACATTAAGTGCTTTTAATCTATCCAATTTCACGTAGTTATCAGATCAGAAATTTGTCGACATTATAATTATTTTAAGATAAATTCTTTTGGTGCAAAAAGATTTTATATAATCTGATATTTAATTTTTTAAAATTAAAAATACCAGAAATTATTTCATCACGGGGTTTTGGGGTTTTGGGG